CGTCGGGAAGATGACGGAAGGAGGGGGATCATCGGAGAAGATGACGAAGCGGTGGGGGCTGGTTCTTTTTTATTATTATTTTATTTTAATTTATTTAAGTTAAATCCATGTATCCTTGTCTTATTCGTCACTTTGGCGTGTGAATTACATGCATCTTTTATGTTTGACTGCCTATTAATTTTGTGTCTAAATGGCACATATGAGATATGGTTGAAGTGTTCAAATGGAACGGACTTAACATAGAGTGTGTAAGTAAAAAGTGCGGACAGCTTTAAGGGGCTAGCGATGTATTTGGCCTATTTTATTTTAAATAGACTTTCAAGAAGAAATTGAAGGACTACTGATTAATTGACTTTAGAAGTAAAAAACAACAGTTCGACGATCTTATTCATCCCTAAAGTTTTAATGAGCTTCGACGTGAATTTCACTTTTAAAAAAAGTAAGCATTGTAAGTGAAAAGTATTATATTTCACATTAAATACTTGTTAAATCAGTTTTTCAACTTTAAATTTCTTATGTCAAGATGAAATTAAATAATGGACAAATTCTAAGACAGACATTGATCCCCTCCGCTCCCCTTCGTGACAACTCTCATTAGGCCTCTCCAAACCTTTTCTTTGAAGTCAAAAGATGTTCAAGAAAGACGTTATTGTTATAAAATAAAGACTGTAAAGTAAAGACAAGTATAGAGAGAAACTGATATATTATTCAAACTTCAAACTTATGTATATAATGAACTGAAATCTCCTCTATTTATAGAAGAAAAGAAGTTGTTGTGTAAGTTGCTACTGCAAGCTGATGTGTAAGCTGCTACTGCAAGTTGCTGTGTAAGCTGCTTGTAAGCTGATATAGATAATCATTTATCGGAGGTAATATTTATCCGTAACGGAGTACCGAAATGATAAGCTTTTTCAGGAAGCTTATTTCCAATAGAGTACTAAATAGATAAACATATTTACGGCGGAGTCCCATATGGATAAGCTTCTTCAGGAAGCTTATTTACAAGGGAGTACTAAATGGACATCCATAATAAAATATATTTATAACACTCCCCCTTGGATGTTCATTAAAAGATAATGTGCCCCATTTAAAACCTTACTAGGAAAAACCTCGTGAAAAAAGTTTCTAGTGAAGGAAAAAGAGTACACATATCTAGTAATATGCATTGCTAGTTGCCTCATTAAAAACCTTATAAGGAAAATCCTGTGGGATAAACCTTAGTAAGGAAAAAAGAGTACAACGCGTATTTTACTCCCCCTGATGAAAACTTTATTTCAAATATTGAGTCTCCGCATTCCAATCTTGTATACTATCTTCTCTAAAGTTGAAGTTGGTAAAGATTTAGTGAATAAATCTACTGGATTGTCACTTGAACGGATTTGCTGCACAGCGATATTACAATTCTTCTCGAGATCATGTGTGAAGAATAACTTTGGTAAAATATGTTTCGTTCTATCTCCTTTTATGAATCCTCCATTTAATTGGGTTATGCATGCAATATTGTCTTCGTATAATATTGTGGGTTTCTTATCACATTCTAACCCATATTTTTCTCGAATAAAATGAATCACCGATCTCAACTATACGCTTTTCCTACTTGCTTCATGAATAGCTATTATCTCAGTATGATTTGAAGAAGTAGCAGCAATAGATTGTTTTGTGAAGCGTCATGATATGATAACACCTTCACATGTAAAACACATACCCGATTTTAGAATAAACTTTATGGGGATCGGATAAATAACCCGCATCTGCACAACCAATATGATTTGCACCACCTTTGTTAGTATTAGCAAGATACATAAGTGCACCAATTGCACTGAGATAGAGTATTTCAGGATCAAGTAGTTCTTCATCCTCTTCTAGAGGTCGGAACGGATCCTTATTCACTTCATGTGATCGAACACCCATTTGGTGTACTTAGTGGGTGTGCTTTGTCCATGTAAAAATATTTAAAGACCCTTTCTATATAGGCAAATTGATGAATAAAGATCTTGTATGCTAAATATTCAATTTGCAAACTAAGACAAAATTTTATTTTTCCAAGATCTTTTATCTCAAATTCTTTCTTAAGATATTCAATTGCCTTTTGGAGCTCTGCTGGAGTTCCAGCAATATTTATGTCATTAATATAAATAGCAAGTATAACAAATTCTGATGATATTTTCTTTATAAAAATACATAGACAAATAACATTATTTATGTAACCTTCTTTCAGCAAATATTCACTGAGGCGATTATATCACATGCGCCCATATTGATTTAAACCGTACAAATATCTTTGTAATTTGATCGAGTACATTTCTCAAGACTTTGAATTATATACTTCAAGCATTTTAAATCCTTCAGGGATCTTCATATTGATCTAATCAAATGAGTCATATAGGTTATGACTTGCATTTAAATGGCATGACATCTTCAGTGTCTGGACTACAGGCCCGATCCTCACAATCTTTTATAATATCATGCACTATATTGTATTAAATATATCGTCGACGATCATTTTGTATCGGTTCCTAAGCGACATAACTTGTTGAGATCTCATCACTTTCTTTATTTTCAGGTACCTGAACTTCTTCTGGAGTTTCATGAAATGTTATGTCGTGGGCTCTTCTAGAGCTCATTTCCTCATTATGATCATTTTGATCATTTGCTCCTATCATTTTTCAAGGATTGTTACCTTTGGAACCGATCGGTTTACTACGTTTCATGCATGCAGTAAACTTTATCCTTCAGGGACTTTAGTTTTAATAGGAGCATTTGCAACTGAAATATGATATTTAATTTTGGATCAGCAAATGCTTCTGGCATTTGACTTGAATTATCTTCTAAGTGAGGATCATATTAATAATAATTCTATTCATATAGCATATTTTTCAGCTATTTATTCCATCCCCAAATGTTAGAAACACTAACACATATCCCCAATCTTCTTTGGAAAATCTATCTTTGTGCATTATGGTAGAGAAATTAACCATATACCACACATCAAAAGTTATTAGATAGTAAAAATATTTGGTTTCTGATTCTAAACCAATTGTGATGGGAGAACTTATCATATTTTGTTGGTCTGATGCATACAAGTGTTGCTGTATGCAATTTAGAAAATATTAGACCAACATATGAGGCTTTGTTCTCATAAGTAATAGTTTAGCCATTAATAGGATGTATTCAATGCTAAACTAGCTTGGATATAAACCAGCATCATCAAGATGAACTATCTTAATTTCATAATCTGAAAATTATGCTCTTAATTGAGAAAGGCAATTTCAAATGCCAAACTGCGGGTTGATAATAAACACACATGTAACCATCTCATATATGCATCTATAAGTGGTTCACATGATAGGTGAATGAGCCCATATTCACTTTTTATATATTCCATAATTCAGAAATTTTAGTCCCAACTTTAGCTAGTATAATCAATTTATTATGAGAACAAGTAACACAAGAGAATTCTTGAAGAATCTTCTAGTTCTTCAGTACATGCTTATCTGAATTCTCAAATAGCTCATTTAAAAATGGTAAATGAAAACTTCAAGTTTATCATGGCATGTGCTATCTCTAAGTAAACTTCTGGTTTACTATGGCATAAACTTTTGCATCAGTAAACTTCTGATTTACTGTGGCTACTTTTGTATCAGTAAATTTCTGATTTACAGTAGCAACTTTTGCCTCAGTAAAACTTCTAGTTTACTGTGACTGCTTTTGCATTAGTAAGCTTTTGGTTTACTGTGATACATGATATAGTACAAATTAAAGAATAAGGCGGGTCACTTCTCACATACATATTATTTTACCCCCTATGATTGTGGAAACATGAAGATTTTCAATCTTTCAGTCATTTGTAGTCTCAATATGATAGTCATTTATTAGTAAACTTTAGGTTTACTACAACATATATTTTTACCATAATCATATAATATGAATGACATATTTATATATAAGCTCTTCGAGAGCCTTCATTTATTATCCACAATCTAATATTTATCTGACACTACTTGTGTCATGTATCTTCTAGATAAATAGTTAGATCTTCAGGAGCTTTTGATAAATTTTGTACTATCAAATATTGTTCAGACACTTCTGGTGTCATGAAAGAAAATCATAATCAAATGAATAATATAAAGATAATTCTAAATTTATAAATAATGAAAATTAAGAATTTTAATATTTTTTTATTACTACATAATATTTTCCTGCTTCGGGAGAAAATTTTAATTATTTACTACTTCAAGAGAAATTTGAAATATGAAATATTGAGAATATATTCTCTCAATCGTATTACCTCTTCTGGAGGTGAATCGTAATATATTTACATCAAGAGCGCGTTCATATTTAATATTGTCACATTCACTTCAGGAAATGGATTAATAATATCAAAAGTTTTCTTCTTTTAGGAGATAGAGCATAATTATCTGAACGTGCATAATCACATCAAATTGTGATGCTTCGAACCTTTTTTAAGATATTTGCTACTTCAGAAATAAATCGAGGTTTGAATATAATATAGAGAATTTTCTCTAACTTATCTTCATTGTAACCATAACAAGCCTAAATTATTACTTCTGGTGGTCATAAGCATATAACACTTTTGGTGGTTAACAAAATTTAGTTACAATGAGATATATGAAATATAGCCGCTTCTGGTGGCCGTGCTCTGCTGGAGTTCAAGTGAACCATGAAGTTAAGTCATAACGAGACTTAAAAAATATTATCACTGTTGGTAATTATATATTTTTCATAAACTCTGCTGGAGTTTAGATGGTTCTGACATTGTTATTCATTTTGTAATCTTCTATGGAGATGACAACATGATGAAAATAAATATATATATATATATATATATATATAGTTTTTAGATGCTAATACATATACAAAGCACGTAACATAGCAAGTTGATTCAATATCCATTGTCTTCTTAGCCTTCAAATTTGTATTTCAAATCACAATATACCTGCAAGTCCTGCATAACTAGTTGCTTAGAATTAACACGTGATGGACATAGATAACAAGCATAATTTTTCAAGCTCATGAAGGAAATCAAATTAAAATTATAAATTAATAAGCCTTATCTTTGAGAAATGACATCAGAAGGATTTCATCTCTTCATAGAGTTAGAAATTAACAAAACTAATGTGTTGTTCACCATTCAAAGGATGTAATTTTCCTCAAAATGCTCTGAATGAACTCGGTTTGACCACACACAAGGGTAGTATGTTACCTCACAGTCAAGTAGTGATGATGAAATTAGAGACTCGTACTGATAACGTGTTATAAAATAAAGATTGTAAAGTAAAGACAAGTATAGAGAGAAACTGATATATTATTCAAACTTCAAACTTATGTACATAATGAACTGAAATCTCCTCTATTTATAGAAGAAAGAAGCTGATGTGTAAGCTGCTACTGCAAGGTGCTTGTAAGCTGCTACTGCAAGCTGCTATTGTACCAGATATATATAATCTTCTACCGGAGGTAATATTTATCCATAACGGAGTACCGAAAGGATAAGCTTTTTCAGGAAGCTTATTTCCAATAGAGTACTAAATAGATAAACATATTTACGGCGGAGTTCCATATGGATAAGATTCTTCAGGAATCTTATTTACAAGGGAGTACTAAATGGACATCCATAATAAAATATATTTATAACAGTTATCACAATTTGGCGTCAACTTTTCCTTTAAGAATGGGAAGCTAATGTTTTACACAATTTTTTCTCAAAAATGTTTCTCCAAAAATCTTTTAAAATAATCCAATTGGTAAAAATACCCAACCCTTCACTCTAAAATCTTGTGGTCTCACGTAACAAGAACTCATATAATGGTGTTAGAACTCATAGCCCACAATACAACAGGGATGTCGTGTTTAAGTTCTGGAAATGAAAAAAAAAAAGCTTTTGTAGGGAGTATTTTACTTCTTTGGTGGGCCACAAATTTGGATTAATCGAACCATTAAAATTCAGTACCGAGGTTGAACAAAAAACTCATAACCATTAAAATTCTTAAAATAATCGATGGAAAATATATATTTTTTTGTATTTATATATATTTATACAAAATAGAGAAATTTTATATACTTTTTCGACTACTGAATATAAATATTTTTTGTTGCGGACTAAAAATAAACTACCTGCGAAAGGGACTTCATACTCCACTATAAAACCACCTAACCACATTGATTTTGTAATGCAACTTAGCTGAACTTATTCGATCCTCTGTTCACAATCATATGCGCAATTATTTAGCCCATACCGCTGCCGATTTTCTCTTTTCTCTTTTTTTTTTTTTTTTTTTTTTTTTTAATTTTCATTTGGCTTGTTTATAATGCAACTTTTGCATCATGTGACTGTCTAGTTTGTCAAGATGCAGTTGGCCATTTTCCCTTCTATTAAAAAAGAGTCACTTTGGCGTAAAGGCATTCAAACGTGAACAAGTTAAGGAAAGAAAGCGAATCCTTCATTGGGAATTGTGGACTATGTATATCTTCTGTCATTTGTTTCTCCACCTGAAAAAATTCTAAGTTTCTATACACATTGAACAGAAGTATCCAAAAGGTAGGACTTCATCCCTCCAAAATCCAAATCATAAATGGTGGAAAACTTATATACTTCTGCAAATTTTCTTCAATTTTAGAGAACCTATATTCTAACTGCGGCAGGTTCTGTTTTGCAATATGATTGTGCCAAACCATTCCCAGATGTCAACTCAAGTTCTTCAGCTTCTTCAGCAACAGGACCAAGTACTGTATAGTCTTATTTACAATATGGTGCATATTTTTCATGCATAATATTTAGTTTGGTTGCAGGGTTATAAACATCATTTTTAACTTAAACAAATATATAAAAGAATAAATTTTATGAGAATGGGCGGAAAAGGATATTCGAAGAGCTTTAAAAAAGCTTATAAGCAAGTCAAATTAGTTTATAAACACTTTTTAACTAGTTAACATCAAAGGTGCTTATACGTCACAATCAGCCAAAGTCAACGGATGATTCCAACTTTAGTCTGTTCAAAATTTCGACTATTTTATCCTTAATACTTTTGAAATCCCCAAAAATTATTCTCAAAACGAAACACCTTTAACTCTCTCCATTTCATGGAAAAAAAAATACTTTTTTTTACCATATACATTAACTATTTATTATCATTTCCAACACTTCTGTCATTTACTTATAACATCGGCTTCAACCCCTAAAAGTTTTGTAATACTTATGTTTATCAGCTACTTTAATTCAATCCGCTAAGCCAAGCATGCTCTAAAATATGGTCTTTAGAAAAACATTGGTGACAATAATCTTTGTTAAGGAATAAGCTTTTAGCTATCTACTTGGTCAACACTTACCAACCATATATCTGTTTCAATGCAACATGAAAAACTCGTAATCTTTATTTTCCTCACACCAAGTAGAACAATTTTGATCTATTTTATCTAGTGCAGGTGATAATAGATAATGGCGTATTCCAACTAAGATTGACAAATCCAGGAGGAAAAATAATTGGTATTCAATATAATGGGATTGACAATTTGCTGGAGCTCAACAACCCAATCTTGAATGGAGGGTAAACCGCACAAATTCTTTTTTCTTTTTTTTTTTCCTTTTCTAGAATCTGTTTGGCAATGACGGAAGTTAAGTTTCACGGAAATGCTTTCTGGGAAATGTTTTAAAGTGTTTGGATAGTGAGTAAAAATATTTTCCGAAGAAAATATATACAGAGTATTAAAGATTGATAATTATATTAGCAAATAGGAGAGTGTTTCGATGAAACTTTTGAATAACAAAGACTAATAATAATGTGTAAATGTTAGTCGGAGCAAGTAATATGAAGTTAAAAGTTTAGATAATTATAAGTTCGAACTACAAAAGAATCCTACTAAATCAATTCCTGCTCCGAAGACAACTACAATTTTGAAGGGAGCCTTCGAGCAACGTAAAGTTATCTCCCTATGATATGTAGGTCAGGGTTTGAGCAGTGTAATCAGCCAATGATGCTTACATTAGGGTAGACTGCCTATATCACACCGTGTTAAAAAAGAAAAAGAAAAAGGAAGGTTCATAAGAGAAAGAAAGTATTATCCCTTTTAAAGATTGCAATAACATTAATATAATATTTAACATGGTAATAAAGCAAACCTGACTACTTACATAGAGAACTCCTAATTAGAAATTGGAACTTGGTTTTTGATATATCACACGTTGATTAATAACGTCTCCTAAATAGAAATTCTTTCCAAATTAGGCCTTAATATTAAAGGCATTGCACAGATAATCATCTGCTTGTCATTTCTTCTATCTCCTTCTATAGTATTGAGTTCATATAGCAGGTAGTCAACTCATTATTTTAGCTATTTTACAATGGAAATGCAGATTCTGGGACATAAACTGGAGTGAACCTGGAACTGCTGGAACAAGAGGAAAATTTGATGAGTAATATTTCCCCTTAAACCACAAACCTGATCTGACAATGCATATAATTTATCATAATTTCCACATCAATGTTCCTCAATTAACTGTTTTTCAGGATTGAAGGTAATAGTTTTAAAGTAATAGTTGAAACTGAAGAACAGATAGAGCTCTCATTTATTAGGACATGGGATCCTTCACTTCAGGGCGAGCATTCCCCGTTAACCATAGACAAAAGGTTTTTTCTTTTTCGATAACTTTTTCATACACATGCATATATTTCATGGACGTCCTTCGTGAGTTAGAGGTAAGGTCTGCGTACACATTTCCCCAGACCCCACGTGTGGGATTTCACTGGGTTTGTTGTTATTGTTGTTGTTTTGTTGCATATATGTCATGGTACAAGTGGTGGTGATTTCTGTAGTAGCACTGAGATACGATAATTTTCAGGTTCATAGTACTTCGGGATTCGCCTGGTTTTTACTCTTATGCTATTTATGAACACAAAGAGGATATGCCAGCATTCAACCTCAATGAAACCAGGATAGCTTTCATGCTCAGTATAGAAAAGTACTGTTCTCATCACTCCTAGATATTTGATCCAGCTGCATAGATGATTTTTTTCCTTATGTCTATATTTCCAACAAGGACTAAGCTTGTATAAAAACTTCGTTTTCAACCAACGATTCGAAACTTTATGTATGAGAGACTGACTTCTGAAAGCTTAATAATTTGTTTTCTTGCAAGAGAAAAGATGTTTCTTAAGTACAATGTGCTTAGTTTCTTGTACAAATCTGCTGAATTTAGAATGAAGAAATTTACTTTGTTTCCAACTTTTAGGTTTCGATACATGGTTATGGCAGATGATAGGCAAAGACTAATGCCTCACCCTAAAGATCGCGTACCTCCAAGAGGAAAGGAATTGGCGTATCCAGAAGCTGTCCTACTTGTCGATCCTGTGGAGCCAGAATTTAAAGGAGAAGTATATATATAACACTCTCTGTCAGCATGCAGAAGTGCTTCTACGTTGATATGTATAATCACTTAGTAAAGCCTCAACAGTAACACGAATGTTGTCCTTCCAATGAATAGGTTGATGACAAGTATCAATATTCGTGTGAGAACAAAGATAACAAAGTCCATGGTTTCATTTGTTTAGACCCTCCAGTCGGATTTTGGCAAATAACTCCGAGCAATGAGTTCAGAACGGGTGGACCTATCAAACAGGATCTTACTTCCCATGTTAATCCGACCACCTTGGCTGTATGTAGCTAATAACCTTTCAGCATTACAAACATTTGAATTAGTGTTAAGTTTTATTGATCAAAATGGTTATTTAGATGTTCGTGAGCACTCATTATGGAGGGCAGGATTTCGTGATTAAATTTGGATCAGGTGAACCGTGGAAGAAAGTTTTTGGTCCTGTTTTTATATATCTCAATTCTGTAGCGCACAAACACGATACACTTTCCCTTTGGAATGATGCTAAAGAACGGGTATACCTCAAAGGGTTCTTGCACTCAAAGCCTATTTTTGCACATATCTGATGTCCCTCAACATACATGATCTTCTGGTTAATTCATTGTCCTATTCTATGTGTGTGAATTTAGATGCACAATGAAGTCGGCTGTTGGCCTTACAGTTTCCCAAGTTCAGAAGATTTTCCAAAAGCTGACCAAAGGGGCGCCATCCGTGGTAGATTAGTAGTCTGTGACAGGTAGAGATTCAAAATTTTCGCTCTCTGGCTATGTAGACAATATATGCTCAATTCAATAAAAAAAAGAAGAAGAAATAAATAAATTAATTAGTACTTTGCTAATTTCATATCAAATTCAAGTTGTGTTGAATTTTGTATTGGCAAAGGTACATAAGCAAGGAGTATTTATCTGCAAAGGGTGCTTTTGTGGGGCTAGCTCCACCTGGAGATGCTGGATCATTTCAAAGAGAATGCAAGGTAAGAAGCCAGGAACACTAAAATGAAGATATTAAAGTAAAAATAGGAATAAAACACTAAACTGAATGCTTCTAAAAAAAACACTAGAGCAGAGTAAGTTACGCTGTATTTTACTCCTCAGGGCTACCAATTCTGGACAAACTCAAATGATGAAGGCCATTTTTCAATAAAAAATGTTCGTCCCGGGGAGTATAACCTCTATGCTTGGGTACCTGGATTTATTGGAGATTATAGATATGAAAAATCCATAGCAGTTTCTGCAGGTTCCAATCATTTCACATTCCATAAAATGCTTTATTCACTTCCAATGTTCAAATGATTCACTATACCATATTTCTTATGGTTTCAGCTTCTGAGGTTGATGTTGGTGAACTTGTGTATGAGCCTCCAAGAAGCGGTCCTACATTGTGGGAAATCGGTATTCCTGATCGCTCTGCTGCAGAATTCTACATTCCTGACCCTAATCCACAGTATATTAACAAACTTTACGTAAATCAACCAGCACACAGGTTAAATAGAACCATTACTTCCTGATAAGATTTTTCTGATATATTTTTATGTATATGCCTATAAAGACTTTTTCCTTGTTGGGGTTCTACCAATTCACTAGTTAAAGCTAACAGTCCTTTTCTACTTCCAGGTTTAGGCAGTATGGATTATGGGAGAGATATGCAGATTTATATCCAGATCAAGATTTGGTATATACAGTTGGAAGTAGTGACTATAGAAAAGATTGGTTCTATGCTCAAGTGACCAGGTACACATGAATGGACCAAACTCTTTCCATGGAATTGTATGCTTTTTTATAATTGAAACAGGAATTTAGGATAAATACGTATAAGATGATTAGTTAATACAGTAATGCTGGAGCTCTTAGTTTCAACATTCACTTTTTTTTTTTTTGAGTTGAGCAGAAAAGTGGGCGATAAGGCATTTGAACCTACAACCTGGCAAATTAAATTCAGTTTAGACAGCGTTGATCAGACTGGAAATTACACACTGCGAATTGCACTCTCATCTTCAACTCAATCGATATTGGAGGTATTCTGTCATGAAATATGGTCTTTCTTTGTCTCATTTCTCGATCAAGAACTCGTAATTTCCCTGTTTTTCAAATGATCTTAACCAAGGAACATGAAATTTGATGTTGACTGACTTATGTCTTAGGTAAGGGTGAATGATTCAGAAGCAAATCCACCCCATTTCTCAAGTGGATTGATTGGAAGTGACAATGCAGTTGCCAGACATGGAATCCACGGGCTATATTGGTTGTTCAATGTAGAGGTCGCAGCAGGACAACTCCTTCAAGGAGAGAATATCATATATCTCAAGCAAGCATGGAGTGTCAGTGCTTTGCATGGGATTATGTATGACTATATTCGTTTGGAAGCTCCTCCTCTTTCCGCCACGCACTATCTAGAGCACGTTCTGTGGTTTAACTAAACTCATTTCTTTTGTTTTAAACTATATATGCTTGCATATGTAAAAGAAAATAAAATGTATATATATAAAAGATTCACGTTCATTGAATCCTCCAACTATATATGCTGGAGATGCTGCCTTTGGCTTTCTATATTCCCTTTTTCTACTTGTATGTTCAGAGGAACTCAACCTTATTAAGTTGGTAATTTCTTGGTCTATGCATACAACTAGCTATGCATACTTCAACTTTGAGCCAGTTAGTGAACAATTCTCGAGAATGACTATATGATGCTAAATTACAACTCAAATTTGTATGGCTGCCGAGAAACCTAGCTACTATGGTGTGTGAGGAACCTAGATAGTTGTTTAGATTGAAAATGTATTGCTTAAACCATCAACTTCATCCAATTCAATTGATTCAAGATGGAAAGCTAGCAGTTTGCAGTTAAAAAATAGAAAGAGAACCCATAGCTCAAATAACAAAAGAGGGTAATCAAGTCTTCTCTATGAGAATGAGAGGAATCCAAGGTTCCTTACTTTTAGTGAATTTTTTTCCCAAGATAAAATACCCTAGTCTGATGAATTTTCTCCTGGAATAATTAAAAAAGAAGAAGTCTGGATTTAAAAAAAAAGTTCAATTGTTCATGCCCACAGAAAATTTACCAGTATATGGTACACCAATCCCTAGCTCCATTTTCCAACATAGGGTCACCACTCCATAGTTGATGTTATTTTAGATATAATGTCTCTATTCCCTAGTCTCCTTTTCCAACATAGGGTTTCCACTCCCTAGTTGATATTATTTTAGATATAGGGTCTCCACTCCCTAGTCTCCTTTTCCAACATAGGGTCTCCACTCCCTAGTTGATGTTATTTTAGAAATAGGGTATCCACTTCTTAGTTGATGTTATTTTAGACATAGCGTCTCCACTCTCTAATCTCATTTTCCAACATAGGGTCTCCACTTCCTAGTTGATGTTATTTTAGACATAGGGTCTCCACTCCCTAGTCTAATTTCCCAACGTAGGGTCTCCACTCCCTAGTCTAATTTCCCAACGTAGGGTCTCTACTCCCTAGTTTATGTTATTTTAGACATAGGGTCCCCAATCCCTAGTCTCATCTCCAACATTAGGGTCTTCAATCCCTAGTTGATCTGATCTTAAATGCAGGGTACACTATTCCTTGATATCTTTGCTAAATATAGGGTATACCATTCTCTCATCGCATTTTCCCAACATAAGGTACACCAATCCTTAGTTGATGCACAATTTAGACAATTAGGATACACCATTCCCAAAGAATCATGTTTTTCCAAGGTACACCAATCTCGACCTTTTATTGCTTTCAATAATGAAGTAGTGTAGAGTTTTATTACAAATAACTCACGGAATTTTTCTAATGAAAACTGGGACAAAAATTTCGTTCGCTTGTTTGTTTTGGTGTCTGAGCAGGATTTACCTCGAGGCACAAGGTTCGAGATGATCAAAAGAAGAAGTCTCAATCCAGAATAAAGAAAAGAAAAGAAGTAAATCCGAAATACATAAGGAGATGAAAAAGATGTGGATCGCCCAAGACATGCCTGAAGTCACGAGCATTGCAATTCCCGTTTTGATCAGAAGAAGCCGGAGAAGAATGAACTAGCACATGCAACTAGCAAGCATCAAGGTTGAAATCAAAAGTCTGCATGATTCTCCATTCAAGACTCAAGATCAAGCTTGAGAAGACTTATAGATCGGAATGTTGTAACTCATAGCTGATAAACTTGTTTAGTTTCTTTTGATTTTGATGTAATAATAAGTCCACGGACCAGAGCCTCGACGGAACAACACTCGACTCTCGAACTCATCATTCCATCGTTCTCCTTGAACTACACGCGACCTGATTCCCCTATGACCCGGGATATGTAGGCTGTCCAAAACCAAGACTCGGTTGCACCCTTTCCTTTGTTTATTTTCCCTTTTGAATAAAGATTTGGTCAAAAATTAGTCACATGGCTCACCTTGTCTTTACTTGAAAGCTCTTCATGTTTCCAAGAAAAGTGGGGCAGTTGTGAGCACCTAATTTTTTACTATATTTGAATTTTTCATCACTTTTTAGTATGTAAATATTTGCTAAGTTTAATCTTGATATTTTAGCCTTTATTTCACTTTTTAGTAGGTTTATTTAATAAATTAAAACTACCAAAAGAATTACACTTTTAGATATTTGATGTATTTTATTTGCAAAAGAAAAGAAAATTTACAAAAAATATGTTTTCCCTCTAATTTGTAACACTAGTAATGTTATAACTTTTCTTAGTAGTTTATTATATTTTTCTAGTTTAAATATTAGTGTAATATTTTAATTTTAGATTATCTTTTAAAGAAAAGACAAATAAAAAAAAAAAGAAATGCAAAAATGCCACCTAGCCAAAACTTACATGCCACTTTCTGGGCAATTTCCCATTAATTCACAGCTCTCACGCCACTCTCACAAAAATAAGATTCCTTCACCTGTGCATTTTCCTTTCTTCCCCAAGTCACACACAAAAATACATACTTCACTCACATTAAAAAAGGACGGACATTAGAGAGCCTTAGGTAGAAAAGCTGCGCATCAGCTAAAGGAAGCAGCCATCCCTTTTTTCTCCAACACTAAAAATACCATTTTCATCACCAAAAAACTTCATGTTTAGCCATGGAAGTAACCTGAAAACGCAGCCATGAATACCAGCTCTTTAAACCACCAAAAATAGCCCCTGTTCCACACCAAAACTCCAGCAAATAACCTCAAAACTCCACCTAAAACAGCCTCTAAAACACCATTAAAACACCATTTTCAATCGAGTTTGAGGTCGCCGGCGAAGTCGCGTTCGAGGTCTGTTCGAGTTCCCAACGTCGCCAAGATTCTTTGGTCGAAGGCGAGGTTCCGCTCGAGAACTCCATACGCTGGTCCGATAGGCAGCAGCTTGTTTCATTTTGTTTTTTAGGGAGAAACATCTTAAGGTTCTATTCTCTCACCTTTGTTCTGCTGGTTATTTTACTTCTATTTGTGTTAATAACTTGGGTTTGAGATTGAATTGATTTCTTATACTGTTTGTTGGGTTTCATTTGGTTGTTAATTTTCCTTGCTGATTAGTTACTTGATTAGCAGAGTAATAGAATGTGTTCTTCTGTAGTATAGCATCCTGGCCCTGTTTATTTGTTAAGTGTTGCAATTGAAGACTAAGTAGGCCATTTGGTTTAACTGAATGTAAGAGCCAGGACATTAGCTAACTATTTGACATTTGATATTGGGCTGTGGGTTTGGGCTCGATTTTAAGAGATGCAGATTTTATTTTATTTTTTTGAAGTTGGCTATCAACTCCATAGCAATAAATTCATAAGTTAGATATTGTAATGCCAAGAGTTTATAAATTAATAGATATCCATAATTCAGCATTACAATAATCTCAAATTAGCTTTAGAAAAATAATTCATGAACAATCGTAGCTTGCTTTAGGCGCGATTAATAATAAATCATCGTGACTATGAGTACGGTTCCCGTGGCATATTCATGATACATAATTCCAAACTCAAGTGCGCGTTTCACGCGACTTGACCACAACTTCAAATCATTAAAATAAATATGTTGTGAATCACGAGTACGTTTCATGTGGCGTGATTTGCAATATGTACAAAAACAACGAGTGCGCGACATCGCGACTTGTTCAAATAAATTTCATAAATACTAAAATGGGTAAAATAAAAGCGGTATAAAGGCAGTAACGCATAAAAGGTTTTAATATGTAATAATCCAGATAATTAAGCCAAGTGTAATTATAAAGCGGCCGTGCTAAAACTACGGAACTCGGGAGTGCCTCACACCTTTTTCCGGGTTAACAAAATTCCTTACCCGGTCTTCTGTGTTCGCGGGCCATAAATAGCGTCAATTTCCTCGATTTGGGATTTTAAAATAAACCGGTGACTTGGGACACCAAAATAATTATTTCAAGTGGCGACTCTAATTAAATAAATAATCTCATTTCGAATAATGTCACTTTAATTGGAAAAACTCTCTATCCCTCGGAAAAAAAGAGGTGTGACAGACTCAATTTCATCGAAGTTTACTGACCGAATTAGGCTTCTCCTTTCGTTTCTTCTCAATGTTTTGGAATCAATACCGTATAGGATTGTCCTTTCCGTTTCTTCTCTTTGTTTTGGAATCCCGAGAAACTAGTATATATATATATATA